TCTTTCCCTCACAGAAGGAATTAATTCTCACAGTGGTGAGAATTAAATAAACAAGACAGCATCATGTATGATGTTCCATGTTACCATATTTCTACTCACTGAACCTAAAATGTCCCATCCTTCTTTCAAAAGGAGAATACTATTTCATCTTTTAAAATACCTCAGGTATCATCTTCTCTATAAAGATTTTCCTGATTCCCTCCTGACAGGCCTGATTATTCCCACTCTCTGAGTCCCATGTACCTGGTATAAACTTCTAAGTGCCTCGTTAACCTCAAGTGGACTGAAGTTTCATGGAGGTAGGATCAATGCCTTGGTCATCTTTGTATACTCCCAGCACCTGACACCGTAAATGACACACACAAAGCACTCAGTAAATTTAGTACATGGAAGTGCCTTAGAGAATGCCAACGTAAGATTTTAAAGTCCAATACTACCCTATGTGCTTCTTAAAATTTCTGATTCCTAGGAGTCATGGGAAGTAAACAGGGCCTTAGAGTAGAATTAAATATTTATTTCATTTTATCTCCCATTTCATTTTTTTAGCAGTAAAAACTGCACTTGAAAGCTAAACTAACTTTTTTAAGGGAAGAAGGAATGTATTCAGCTTGTTGGGCATACTAAGTATAGATAGCAAACAAAAGCTAGGAAAAACTAGGAAATAAATCACCTCCAGAAAACAAAAATAGAATCAAGAAACATCCCAGAATTAATTAAGGTGATACTCCAATACCGACAGCCCTGCTTCTCTTGTTGCCGCCTCTCAGATCATTCTGTATTTAGCAGCCAGAGTGACTTTTAAAAAACATAAATCAACTCATATCATCCCCTTTCTTGAAGCCCTTCAGGAGTTTCCCACTCCACTGAGAATAAAATAGAAACTCCTTCCAGTGGCCTCAAGGCCCTGGCTGACTCTCTTACCTCTTCTGATGGAACTCTTCCCTTTTCTCACTATGCTCCAGCTACACAGGGCTGCTCTGGTCTTTTCTGTGCTTCCTTCCTTCCTCTCTCTTGCAACTAATTCCAATTACATTTATTGAGTGCCTTCTATATGAAAAGCCCTTTCAAATGCAATCTCAGTCAATCATCACAATGAATTTCAGATGTAAATATTACCTCATTCTACAGGTGAAGAAATTAAGCTCTGAGAGATTACATGATCTGCCCAAAATACAGTTATCTTCTCCCATGCCCCTCACCCTGAATTTTTTCAGATATATCAAGCCCATTCCTCCGTATCCTCCATCATGACTGCTTCCTCTTCTAAGAATGCTCCTCCCCCAGCTGTAGTGTAGTTGGTTCCTTTCAGCCTTCAGATTTTGGGTTAAATGTTTCTCCTCAGGTCTTCTCTGCTTTATCCACAGTAGGTTCCCCTGTTCTCTAAGATAGTGTATTCCTTTATTAAACACTTTTTAAATACTTATTTTCTTGTTTATTGCCTGTCTCCCTCAATAGGTTGTATGCTCCATGAAAGAAGAGAATATATTTGCTTTTTCCATCATTATATCCTCAAAACACAGCACAGTGTCTGGCATTCAGGTGCTCAACTGATATTTTTTTCAATAAATGAATATTCTGTATCCCTGCAACCTGACACAGGGCTCAAGGTACTTAATAGGTTTATTAAATAAATGAAGGAATGAAAGAATGGGGAAAAAGATGTGTCATGAGCTTCAAGACACCATAACATAAAAGTAACACCTAAAATTAACAAAGCACATCTGTATGACTTACAGAGATTAGAGGGAACACTGTACAATGGAAACCAGACAAATCCCAGCAAGATCATTACTTAGCTTTTGTGGTCTCATGCAAGTCACTAAATAGCTCATTTACACATTGTAAAATGAGATTATACCACCTTCTTTATAAGGCAAAATGTCTTGCTCTTAAATAAAATCTTAACAATCATGTAAAACAGGTAGTACATGAACTAATGTGCTCATACTATCAATTAGAAAATCAACTCAAAGCTTAGATGACTTGTTCCAAAACAGACGGTTTCTAGAAGGGGAACCAGGACTCAAATATAGGTCTTCCCATTCCTGTTTTAATCACTCTTCTTTTTTTTTTTTAATTTATTTTTTATTGAAGTATAGTTGAATTACAATGTTGTATTAATTACTGCTATATAGCAAAGTGACTCAGTTATACATATATTTACATTCTTTTTCATATTCTTTTCCATTATGGTTTATCACAGGATACTGAATATAGTTCCCTGTGCTATACAGTAGGAACTTGTTGTTTATCCATTCTATATATACCAGTTTGCATCTGCTAATCCCCAAATCCCACTCCTCTCCCCCTTGGCAACCACCAGTCTATTTTCTGTGTCCCTGATTCTGTATCTGTTTCATAGCTAGGTTCATTTGTGTCACTCTTCTTATGTCCCAACTACTTATTGTAAGTCTTGTTGTAAAGGATAAAGGAGGTAATATATTAAAACAGTCTTAAATGTTAAAGGACCACAAATAACAACATTTTCTTTATAGGGAAATGGAAGAAAGTCCCAATCAGAACTAGTAATGCTTTCTTCTTGAATAACTTATTCCCAAATAGATTAATGTGCTAGCTTTGGGAATAATCTACACAACTACTTAATAGTCCTCAAAGCATTGTCTACATTAGGAGAAAAGAACCCACTTTGCTAACAATAAAAGTAATCTTTCTAACCAATATGCCAAATAAAATAAGTTCTTTTCTTTGGCATACTGGTAAAGGGATTAGGAAAAATATTTTTAAATATAGCAATTACTATGAATCATATCTATAACATCTTTAATGTAAATTTATTTTAGTTAAAAGAGGACAGAAATGACAGTACAACAAGTTTAACCTACGGGGGTGGGAATGTCACAAAATTAAATTTTCAAATACATTTTACATCAGCAGAAATATGGTTTTCTAAATAGAACAAATTAATGTTTATTGCTTTGCTCCCAACACAGATTTTTCATGAAAAATCAAACCAAAAGGACAGGGATATTATTAGTATTCTTGAGAATCCTACTGTCTGATTTTCTTAAAGCTCATTCAAAAAGTATTTTCTTTTAACTTTCAAATAGAAAGTTCAACAATTTTTTTGTTTTTTCATGATTAGACCAAATATCCTCTTAAGTCTTCCATCAGGGAATCTGACTCTATATACTTACAATTGGGAAGGGACAGAAGGTCCAGAAACCCTTCTGGATAAAGTGCCAGGCAACCAACATTTCAAGATATCTCTCTTTATCCCTGCAACATACCCATATATTATACCAAATCTTTAGAAGTATAAGAAATAAAATACCTTGGAAGTCCTCAGAATTAGGCAACTTGACACCACATACAAAGTAATCCTTATGCTCATTCTGTAAATACAACAAAAGAATGAAATTAATTACGTTTATGTATAAAGCAAAGAAGTTCTAAATCTAAAAAATGTACGTCAGTATTAATTCAAAGACAATACTGTCATAGACTAAAATTATTAACCAAATTGTTGAAGCTGAATGAGTACATGATGATTTATTATACTATTCTGTACACTGATGTACACTTCAAATTCTCTATACTATAAACATTTAAAACATCATATCTAAGCAAAAAACCGTGTCAAATTTTAATCATAAAACTATCGTTTGACCAATTCACAGCTATAAATGAAAATTTTTAAGTAGAATTAATAAGATTCTATGAGCAACCTAAAATCCTATTAGGTTTCCTCTCAGAAAATTAGTCTTTTAAGTCTCTTTTCATTAAAAAGAAAACAAACCCACCAAAACCCACCAAATTTAGTTAGGATCTAAAAAAAATCCTAACCAATTACCTTTGTATTTACTCTAAGAAACCAGATTCAGAAACTTAATATCCTGACAGTTACCTCAGGAATATCTTAGGTAATACTAATAAATATAAATTAATTAGCCGTTATATTTTTAAAGCAATGCACGTGTATCTGCATCTATGTGTCAGATATGGTGAAAGTTGATAATCTGGTTGAGTGAAAAGGTCCTAAAGAAACCAGAAATAATTTGGCATTCTTTCAGATGAAGATGAGTGCACCCCACCACCAAACTGATAGAAAAAAAATCAAATGGTGGAACCTAATGCCAACTAATTCCAAATCTACTTTTAAAATAAATATTAGCTTCTGAATGAATCATGACAGAGCATATGATTAAGACCAGAGCAATCAGTTTTTGCTTTGAGAGAAAATTTCAAACAGAAATCATCTTAAAAAAAATTTTTTTTTCCCCCAGAAAATTTGAAACTTACCAAATCAATAGGGTAAATGTAGGAAAGCTCAGATAGTAATTGCCTGCAACGAATTGTCAACTGGGCATTAGTCTTCAGAAAGAGTTCTCTAATGAGGAAAAAAAAAGCACATTTGTTAAAAAAAAAACATGTTTGCGTGCTTTCTAACAGTTATTTCCACCTAACTGATGCAGAGAAAGATTAATGGTCTGTACTGGGCCACAGAAGTAGAAGCAAGAATAATAGCTAACATGAGTCATGACCTATCACTAAATACTATCAATCAAGCTAACTATACTGAGGCCTATTTTATGTGTCCAACACCATGCTAAGAGATGTGAAACGTACAAAATCACTGACTGGGCACCTACTACTACATGCCAGGAGCTTCACAAATGGCTTTAATTATTACAACAACTTACTCGGTTGATATTACTATACCCATTTTACAAACAAGAAGACAAGATTTAGAGAGGCTCAGTAGGCTGACCAAGGTCTCATTTAACCTGAGGCCAATTTGTTTTTAGGAAATATCCATATGGTATTTCCTCAAAAAAGTTTTCTATTTTCATTTACAACTACAGATGTTATAACTACCTCAAAAAATAACCTGCTGCCATATTACAAAAATAACAGAATAAAAAAAGGACAAAGCAGAAAGCTGTGGCATGAGATGATGTAGCTCTTCTCTTGAACTATTTAAGAAACATGACCAACAGCTAAAATACCCATAGAGCATATTACCTGCTCAGCTGTGTCAACAATTAAAAAGGAGGTAATTTAGGAGAAACAGTAGGTCAAAGTGGAATCTAAAGTAGTACAATGCAAAGAGCACTGAAGACTTAAAGGGATTTAGTCCTGCTTTCCTAGTGAAATGGACAGAGTAACCTCCAGAGCTTTGCTTTCCTATCTGCAAACTGAGAGGATTAGATGATCTCCAAGGTTCTTTTCAGGTTTCTCAATTGCTAAGGTTTCTTAAAGAAAAATGCAGGATGGGATGACTTTCTAGGAAAAGTGAGTGAAGATGAGGAAAAGATCAGAGGTGGTAACAAGTTAAGCATGTGCTGGAAAAAATAACGGGAAAAACTATTAGCATTTGTTAAATGAATGTCACGGAGCGACTGAAATTAGCTACAGCTGTATGGGGCCATTTTATTGAAGGTTATTTGACAGGGAGGCAAAACAATCACCATTGGTTCTTAAGAAGAGAAAAAATGATGGTAAAATAGTATTTTAGGAGGGCTTCCCTGGTGGCGCAGTGGTTGAGAGTACGCCTGCCAATGCAGGGGGAGTGGCTCAGTGGTTAGGAGTCCGCCTGCAGATGCAGGGGACACGGGTTCGTGCCCCGGTTCGGGATGATCCCACATGCCGCGGAGCGGCTGGTATTTGTAGCCATGGCCACTGAGCCTCTGCGTCCGGAGCCTGTGCTCCACAACGGGAGAGGCCACAACAGTGAGAGGCCCACGCACCGCAAAAAAAAAAAAAAAAAAATAGTATTTCAGGAGAAGTCTGCTAGCAACATGGAGGATGAACTGAAAACTGGAGAGACTGATGTTAGAGAGAGAACCTGGGAGCTGTTGAGGTCAGCCAAGAGAGCTAACAGGAGTAAGTCTGAAGGAGTTACTGAAGAAAAACTGTAAGCTGCACTAAATGTAGAAGACAGGAAGAGGAGGAGATTCAAACATTAAGTCACAGTGCTGTGGCCCTGAAATCTAGAACAGTGTCCATGCTTCCGATTCTGACTACATACTAGGAGGTCTCATAACCGACTCTAGCACAGTAGGTGTTGAACAAGTGAAAGTGGCATTGAACATATTAACTGGTATTAATACCGGCAGCTTTAAAAAATACTCCTTTTCCAAATCCTCTCTTCAAAGTAAACTCGACACTCATAGTTACAACCATTTTCAGTGTTCCATTTACCTTTTCGCAGTACACTCCTTCCTCAACTCATTTAGGGATTCCTTCTGGAGTTGAAGCTTGAGGTGCTCAGCCGAAAATGCACTTCCTAGAGAGAGACGAAAGGAGACAATTCCAGATGGAACACTGCAGACAGGACTGCCCAGTCACAACCGAACAGGCAGAGCCCAGTCCCCTGACTGTGAGAGGGAAATAAAAAGAGTTAAAAGGTAAAATGGGTTGGGGTTGGAGGACTTCTGGGGGGCTTAATGAGAATAAACTTCCTATTGCTTCCTTTTTTTGTTGTTGCTTCCATTTTTATACAGCTTCTAGCAGAAGTCAAAGAGTAAGAGTCTAGGATTCTCTGCCTACAGATTTCTGGGTCACTGACCAAGAAAGCCGGATGCAATTTTCAAAATTCAGACAACTTCATTTTTAAAAAAACTGGCTATGGACTCTGGGTGCTAAGGATGATTCACTAAAGGTTCATCAATTGTAACAAATGTACCACTTTGGTGGGGGAAGCTTTGCACAGGTGGGCGGTTGTGAGTATATGGGGAATCTGTACCTTCTGTTCAATTTTGCTATGAACCTAAAATTGCTCTAAAAAGTAAAGCTTAATTTTTTCTAAAAAGGTGGTTAATTTGTTTTTAACTGCAAATGCTATATAACATTACTGAAAGTATAAAAAGTAGAGCAGGAAAAATTACCCGCATATTGACTACTACAATATAGTTCATCAATATTAAGTTTTTTATGAACTTTCATCTTATTCATATACATAAGTAGTTTTAGTTACAATCACAGTGTGCAGGAAATGTGTATTCTGATTTTTCCAAATTATGTCTCAAGCATTTTTACATGTTGGCAGATAGTCTGAGTTACAATGTTTAATGGCTTGTAAAATTTAACTCCATAGATGTGAATTAAAAGAATATTCCACATTTTAACTGATACCCCAATACCTCAATTCCACTACAGGATTACTTTAGCATTGCAATGATTAATATTTGAGTATAAGCCTGGTCTTTTGTATTTATATCAACTTTGGAACTTCCATTTTCATTCATGTGATCATAAAATCCTTTTACATCTTCCTACTCTAAGAAAATGAGCCTGTCTCAGGAAATTCCAAAGGTCCTGAAACACAGAAAAACAGTCTTAGATCCTGACATACTAAGTTCTAGATCTTAAAAAGAAGCTTAGGGACTTCCCTGGTGGCACGGTGGTTTAGAATCCGCCTGCCAATGCAGGGGACATGGGTTCAATCCCTGGTCCGGGAAGATCCCACATGCTGCGGAGCAACTAAGCCCGTGTGCCACAACTACTGAGCCTGTGCTCTAGAACCCGCGAGCCACAACTACTGAAGCCCGCGCGCCTATAGCCTGTGCTCTGCAACAAGAGAAGCCACCGCAATAAGCCCGCTCACTGCAACTAGAGAAAGCCGGCATGCAGCAATGAAGACCCAACGCAGCCAAAAAAAAAAAAAAGAAGCTTAGTTTCATGAACTGTGATCTAACAGGAAAAGGTGCCCTAAACTCTTCCGCACATCTAGGGAGGAACAAGAAGTAGGTTAATTGATCAAAATACAGTTTGGACCTTAGAACTAAATTCACCAACCTAAGTAATTTTATCAAAATATGTCTAAGCACTCTGCTCTTCTCTCTCAACTGTATTTAAATGACCAGTAAGTTGTTAACTCTGCTCCCCAAACAGAACTTAATCAAGGAATACCACTTATCTTCTTTAGCCCCAATATAATTCCTCACCAGATTTCCATATTGATAATAGATAGCATTGAGATAATCCCTCAATGATTTCAGAAGACACTTGGGTTGACAACCTCTACCCCTCACCCAATGCACTTTTACCAGAAAGCACATGAATTCTTCTACCACTGTACAAATTTGCAATGTTATTCTTCATCCCAGATAAAAGGCTGCCTCAATTCTAGTGAAATCACAAATGGGCCAAGACAGATCTGGGTTTCAAAATGCAAATGTATGCACCCTCTTTAGCTTTGAATGTCTTTAGAACATATCACACGACCAAAAAGAAAACAAAAACAAAAACCCTTGCAAAACAAAGAAGGAAAACAAAATTTAAAAATACACAGCCAGGGGCTTCCCTGGTGGCGCAGTGGTTGGGAGTCCGCCTGCCGATGCAGGGGACGCGGGTTCGTGCCCCGGTCCGGGAGGATCCCACATGCCACGGAGCGGCTGGGCCCGTGAGCCATGGCCGCTGAGCAAAAAAAAAAAAAAAAAAAAAAAAAAAACACAGCCAGCTAACAGATGGGGTAAAAAGTTAACAACAGGTAAATCTGGGTAAGAATGTAAGTGTTCTCTGTACTCTTATTCTTGCAATTTTTCTGTAAGTCCAAAGTGATTTCCAAATAAAAAGTAAAAGAGTAGATCCAAACCCAGAAAAAGGTCTCCTGAAAGGCTATGGTTTTCCCACAGGCTTTAACAGAACTAAGGCTTTAGAACACAGACTGGCAACATCTCTCCAAAACATATCAGGTTCATTTTTCTGTTAAAAGGTAATACACCTCATTGGTCACCGGGTGGTCTCTGGAACAAAACTGAGCGAGTCTGGTTTAATTAGGCTCAGGTAGAGAAGAACTAAGTATTTCAAGATACCTCAGAAAACTCCACCTAAGCTCCAAAAGTCACTTCATAGGAAGTAATAACATTGAGGCAATGATGTGCTCAAGCTCTTTACATGTTGTTCAAGTTATATATTACCAGCCTGAATACTACATGATTGGTGTTGTGTCCTCCTAAGGATATTACATATAGAAGCAATGATATCCATCTTTAAGACCATGGATATATCCTGCTTCTCATCTAACTTTCTCCCCAGATTTAGCATTGATTGGTGTCTTCTGCTTGAATCAATTTTTACTACTATGGTTGCAAAATAATATTCCAACTCCAGTACTTCCTCCATACTTATCAGGCAGCATTCAGCATTCTTCTCTAAGCAAGAGCCCTTCCTTCTCCATTAGCTATCTGTTATCAGTATGGAATCATGAATTCTCTTTTATTTTTCAAAGATTTATAATTCACTACTGGATTTAATTATTTTGGTGCTCAAGTGGTCCCAGATTTGAGCAGCCTTCAGCCTTGTTCCAGTGCCCTTCTGACATACTACGATCATGTTATTCAAAATATTACCTTATTTACTTTAATTGCTGCAGGATCTGTAGTGATATCCCCTCTCACTCCTGATACTGGTAATTCACGCTTTCTCTCTTTTTACTCAGTCAGTCTGGCTAGAGGATTATCAATTTTATTGATCTTTTCAAAGGACACCTTTTAGTTTCATTGACATTCTCTACTCTCTTTTTGTTTTCAATTTGACTGATTTCTGCCCTCGATTATATCCTTCCTTCTGCCTGATTTGGGTTTAATTTGCTCTTCTTTTCTAGTTAAGGTATAAGCTTAGGTTATTGAATGAAGGTCTTTCTTCTTTTCTAGTATAAGCATCAAATGATATAAATTTCCTCTAAGCATGCATCCCTTAAAATGTTGATATATTTTCGTTTTCATTCACATCAAAATATTTTCCAATTTTCCTTGTTATTTCTTCTTTGACCCATGGTATGTGTGTGTGTGTGTGTGTGTGTGTGTGTGTGTGTGTGTTGTACAATTTCAAAATATTAAGAGTTTTCCAGATATCTTTCAGTCAGTGATTTCTAGCTATTTCTGTTTTGGTGAGAGACAATACTTTGCATTATTTTGATTATTTTGCATTTATTTGTTTTATGACACCAAATATGGCCTAACTAAATATTCCATATGTACTTGAAAAAAATGTATATTCTGCTGGTGTTCTACTGTTAATTAGGTCAAGTTAGTTGATAATGTTGTTAATGTCTTCTCTCCTTACTGGTTTTCTCTCTACTTGTTCTATAAATTACTGAGAAATTAGTGTTACGGTTACCAACTATAATTGTGCATTTAGCCATTTCTCCTTTCAGTTCCATCAGTTTTTGATTTATATATATATATATACACATACATACACAAACACACACACACACACACACACACATATACGCTTGGTTGTTATATTCATACATATTTAGAATTGTTACGTCTTTTCATGAATTTGCCTCTTCACCATAATGTAATATCCCTCTTTACTGCAGGTAATATTCATTGTTCTGAAGTCTACCTTGCCTGATATTACTAGAGCCACTTTGGCCTTCTTTTGGTTGGTATTTGCATAGTGCATTTTTTCCATTCTTTTACCTTTAATCTGTCTATATCTTTAAATTAGAAGTGTGTTTCTTGTAGATAGGCTTTAGTTGGGTCTTTTTTTTTTTAATCTTTATAAAATCTGAACAATCTCTTTTTTAACTGAGGTATTTAGAACATTTACACGTAATATAATCATTGATACATTTAGATTAAGAACAACCATTTTGGGCTTCCCTGGTGGCGCAGTGGTTGAGAGTCCGCCTGCCGATGCAGGGGACGCGGGTTCATGCCCTGGTCTGGGAGAATCCCACATGCTGCGGGGCGGCTGGGCCTGTGAGCCATGACCGCTGAGCCTGCGCGTCCGGAGCCTGCGCTCCGCAGTGGGAGAGGCCACAACAGTGAGAGGCCCGCTTACCGCAACAAAACTACTATTTTGTTAGCTGTTTTCTCAATGTTCCATTTATTCTTTGTTTCTTTATCCCTCTTTTTCTACGCTTTTGGATTTTTTTTATGACTTCCTCTTTCTTCACTATCAGCTCGTTCTTACCTCTCTCTAAAATTTTTAGTGGTTGCCCCAGAGTTTACAATATATAACTTAAATTAATAACAGTTTACCTTCAAATAAAATTATACCACCTCATGTAAAGTATAAAATCCTGACAACAGTACACTCCCAACTCTTTCCTTCCCCACTCGTAAAATACGTCATAAATTTTACGTTATGCATGTTATAAACTCTAAAACATTATTTTTGCATTAGAAAATCAATAGTCTTTAGAGCAATTAAAAATAAGAAAAAAATTTCTTTATAATATCTTCCTTTCAACCTTTTCTGGAGCTCTCAATTTTTGTGTGTAGAGCTAAGTTTCTGTATGGTATCATGTTT